GCGGTGGGGGTACCTGGGTAGTGGAATTGGTTAAGCATCCAACTCCTGATTTTGGCTCAGGTCATGATCTGGCGTTTGTGAGTTTGAGCCCGGCGTCAGGCTCCACGCTGACAATGGTGAGCCTGCTTAGGACTCTCCCCCGCCCCTCTCTCTCTCCTTCTCTCTCCCTCTCTGCCCCTCCCCTGCTTATACTCTCTCTCAAAAATAAACATTAGAAAAAATAAAATTATTAAAAACATAATAATAAAATACTCAATTAGGTCAGGCTATTTGTTGAGAACACAGGAGACCATTACTTGCTTAGAGAATGAGCATGCTAAGAGCATTTGGGCAAGGAAATAACTAAAATTCCCAAGGTCTCATACAAATAACTAAAATTCCCAAGGTCTCTTACTTACCAGAAGTTCTTTATACTTTGGCCTTTTGGATTCATCCTTCGTAAGGCTAAAATAACAGAAAAATACCATTATTAAAACGGAAACACAGTTACCCAAGTGCTTTTCTTTTCACAAGTGAAGTATCACAAAGAACCAAGCAGTTTTTTCCCTTCAGATACAAAAGGAACAAAGAGAACAACCTGCCAGATGTACGTACACACACACACACACACACACACACACACACACACACACACACACACACACGCTTAAACAATTTATAATCTAAGGATTTGTCCTCAGGATATTCAGTGTAGAAGCATTAGTGGAAAACAAACAAGTTAACTACTGATTACAGATTACAGCACAGCTGCGAATACTACGAATAAATGTACGAATGTGCGTATAAAATCGTGTGTATGCACGTGTTTTCTAAATACATACACGAGTATTTATACTGACACCACCTAAGGGAAACCAGAAGTCTGGGAAGTAAACTATATACAAATTTTATCAATTTATCCTTAGATTTTTTTTTTTTTTTTAATTTTTGAGCTCTGTATTTCAATCCTGTGTCCTTTGGTCCAAACGTGGAGAGCACCACCGCCTTACTAAGGACTATATTGATATAATAAAACACTCTGCGCTGATATTTTTGCCTTGAATCCTACCTTGTCTAATTAATGTGGCCAGAGGTATTTTCATGTTGTTTATCTTTACCATATTGGTCTGGGACCATGTATCTTAGTCACCCCTCTCTTCCAATCTCAATTAAATTCTTTTTTTTTTTTTTACTCGCAAAAGTTAATTAACACTGACAACATAGTTCATCTATTTCTTTTTTCTGATTAATTGATTTTTATTTATTTTGAGAAAGAGAGAGAGAGAGCAAGGGAGGGGCTAGAGAGGGAATCCCAAGCAGGCTCCGCACCATCAGCATGGAGCCTGACGTGGGCTTTGAACCCACGAACCGTGAGATCATAACCTGAGCTGAAACTAAGAGTCAGGCCTTTAACCGACTGAGCCCCCTCACCTGTTTCCAAACTCAGTGCTGTTTTCTATATTCCATACCTTCTGGGCGGGATGTGGCGCTGTGCTATGGCGACCATACCTACACCGAGTTCCAGTAGGAAGGGATTCTCCTCGCAGACAGCCCTCAGTGGCCAGCCTCTTCGGGATGACCTGGGCTGAAGAGACCCACCTTAGCCTCCCTGGGGCAGCCTGAGCTCACGACTGCTCCACAGAGGGGCAGGGAAATCAAGACGCTCACGCACGTCGGGCCAACCCTGGAGGGTCATCCCAGTGGTACGCCTTGCCTGTAGAGGTCTTTGTTAAGATCGTACTGCAGGCCAACTTCCCTCTGCTCCTCCAGCTGTTGATGGCAAGGTCACCGCCATCTCATCCGCTTCCCACACACTGATCTCTGCCTCAAAAGCCTGGCTTCTGGGACGCCTGGGTGGGCTCAGTTGGTTAAGCATCTGACCTTGGCTCAGGTCACGATCTCACAGTTCGTGGGTTTGAGCCTCACATCAGGCTCTGGAGAACAGTGCAGAGAACTGCTTGGGATTCTCTCTCTCCGTCTCTCTCTACTCCTCCCCAAGTCACGCTTTCTCTCACTGTCAAAATAAACAAACTTAAAAAAAAGAGAAAAGCCTGCCTTCCAGGGAACCAAACTGCAACACCCTTCTCCTGGGTTCACTCTCCTTCTGGGCCAAGTATATCTTTTCAAACAATCTATGAATGGTTAACTCTTAACTCTTTCCATTCCTGGAAAAATCCGTATTTCCTCCTTATTTTGAATTATAATGGAGTGCCGACGTATAAAGCTTTAGGACAAGGCTAACAATTCTTTTTCCTCCGTGGAAAGAAGGAGCTATGGCTCGTTTTCTGGCGATTACTGTGGCTCATCGCAAGGTGGCTGTCAGTCTAATTGATTACACCTTCCCAGACAGTCTACGTTCCTGCTGACTTCTACACTACTGTTCTCCACTCGTCCTTCAGGGCATTTAGATACACATTTAGATACTTTGTGTCTCCCACACGGCACAGAGATTTGATTCCAAGCTGAGAACATCAAGTCTCAAATGCTTCGCCACATGATCTCCAATACTGCTTCTCCCACTTCCAGAATTATGTTCCGCCACATTCGCTACATGTATCTTACCAGTTCCCTTTCTGTTCCCCCGGTGCTCAACCAGTCTTTCACGCAGTTGAATCTGTGTCATGTTGGGAAATCCCTGTGGCCTATCTGCCAACTTCCCCAGTTCTATCCCCAGTTGTTTCCGGCCTAGAGTACATCAAATATGCGGTCTTTTGTATCGACGGCTAAGTTTTTTTCATTTCTAAATCTCTGCATCAGTTTTCATAGCCAACTGTTTATCATTTCTGTTTTACTTCTTTCTCAGCTTTCTAAAAAAATTTTTTAAGGCTTCTTTATTTTTGAGAGAGACAGAGAGTGAGAGAAAGGCAGAGCACAAGCAGGGGAGGGGCAGAGAGAGAGGGAGACACAGAATCCTGAGGAGGCTCCAGGTTCCAAGCTGTCCGCACAGAGCCTGACACGGGCCCCGAACCCATGAACCACGAGATCACGACCTGAGCCGAAGTCGGACGCTTAACTGACTGAGCCCCTCAGGAGCCCCACTTCGTTCTCAGTTTTAATCGAACTTACACCCTCATTTCCTCGGACAGCCTAAATATACTTATTTTATTTTGAACGGTATTTTGGACTAGTCCACAAGCTCAGCTTGATTTAAAGTAAATTCATGTTTTGTTTTATTAGTTGATTTTTTTTTTTTTTTTTTTTTTTTTTTTTTTTTTTTTTTTTTTTTTTTTTTTAGCATCAGACTCCATGCATTTTGGAATTCTGGCTTGCACGGTGCGCACGCTTATGCATGCATTTGTTCTGCAAATCTCAGAGTGCCTAGCCGGTACTACAACCCGAAGCAGGAGCTAGAGCTAGATAGACCCATTTCACCGCTGCTGCTCCTTTTTGGGTCCACCGCTACAGAACAAGGTCCCCCAACGGCTCTTTCAAGTTCCAGCCCCCTGCTGATATTGGGATTATTATAGATCCAGTCCTCTGGTTACACAAACAGTATCTATGCCCTTGCCATTCTGTGTCCCTGCAGCACGCGGTGGCCCAGGCAGTGACTGACATGGGCATGTTTTCACTCCCCAGATCCTGATTTCTAGGCAGACCCCAATTCCTGTGGATCCCTGTCCGGAAAAGAGCACTTGTCGACCTCTGATCGTGCAGGAAGTGATGTCCTGGGCAGAGCAAGGCCAAGGCTTCAGACCTCCAGAGCATTTCCATCACATCGGTCATCCACACAGATGTTTACTTCGTAAAGCTGCCACAATCTTAGGTTTTTGATTTTTCCGTGTCAACTACTGTAGCAAAAAGCTGCACCAACGTATAAACTCATGATGCCATTTGAGTAGAAATGTTTAACCAAATTCTTATTAACACTGAGGATCTTCTGTTTCAGAATTACCACTGCCATTAGTTTGGTCCCACTTATCACGTGAAACCCAACCAGTTAAACCCCACGCATCCAATAAGGTTTAGTCACTTGTCAAATTAACGTCAATGAAATACAATTTTAAAATTTACCTCCTTAGCCACACTTGGAGTGCTATGGCCACCACAGTGGACAGGGCAGGTTACAAAACTTTCCCATCATTTCAAAAGTTCTGCTGACAGCTTCAGACCCACTTTTCAGTTTACTCATCTCGCTTCAATCACACCTAATCTGTTTATTCCAGCCACTGAATTTTTAACGTATGCTTTTTATCTCTGGACGTTCCCTTTTGTTCTTCATAGATTCGTGTTCCTTGCTTCTATTTCCGAGCTTCTTCATTTTTCTTTAAATGTATGAAAAGACTTTTTCTAATTGTCCTAATATCTGAAGTCGTCGGATCTATCCCTGCCATCGGTTGTTTCTACTAATTCTCGTTCCTTGTGCTTGGGAGTGAGTGTTGGCATTTCTTCTGAACTCACGCTGCACTCGACTTTTTCCTGGGGAATTCTGGGGCCCTCGCTTGAAGGATCTGGTCTTGCTTCTGCCGAACAACTAGTCTTTCTGATCAGTAGCCTCTTGGAATCCTTACCTCCCATAATTTATTGAAGTCACTTTTTCTTCACCTGAAGTACAGTTGACACACACTGTTACGTTAGTTTCAGGCGTACGACACAGCGATTCAACAAGTCTGTGCGTCAGGCTGTGCTCCCGCTGGTCACCATGCGACGCCATTGCAATGTCACTGACCACGTTCCCCACGCTGTGCCTCTTATCCTCATGACTTACTCACAGGCACAACTGGAAGCCTGGCCCTCCTTCCCCCTCCATCCCTTTCATTCCTCCCCTGCCCTCCTCCCCTCTGGTGACCATCAATTCTCAGTTTTCCCAGGTCTGTTTCTGCTGTTTGTTTATTCATTTGTTTTGTTTTTTCAGATCCCGCGCATAAGTGAAATCATGGCATCTTTCTCTGATTCCTTTCGTTTAGCATAATATCCTCTAGCTCCATCCATGTTGTAACAAATGACAAGATTTTCTTTTTTTATGGCTGAGTAATATTTCATTACACTCAGGCACGCGCACACCCACCCTACCCCACATCTTTATCTGTTCAACCATGGATGGATACAGGCTGCTTCCATATCTTGGCTATTATAAAAAAATGCTGCAGTAAACACAGCGGTGCATACATTATTTCTGAATTCATGTTTTCATTTTCTTCGGCTAAATACCCAGTAATAGAGCCACTGGATTGTATGATGTTTCTACTTTTAATTTTTTCAAGACCATCTATACTGTTTTCCACAATGGCTGCACCAATTTGCATTCCCACCAACACTGCGTGAGGGTTCCTTTCTCTCCACCCCCTTGCCAACACTTGATATTTCTAGGCTTTTTAATTCTAGCCATTCTGACAGGTATGAGGTGATACCTCATTGTGGTTTTGATTTGCATTTCCCTGACAATGAGTGACACTGGACTTTTCATGTGTCTGTTAGCCATCTGGATGTCTTCTTTGGAAACATGTCTATGCAAGTCCTCTGCCCAT